CAGTACCGAAAGGCAGGCCAACGTCAATGGGTACGCTGACTGATTGTCGACCACTAAGTTCTCATCCTCGAAAACATGCAGGTTGTCGCTTGAATGACCTCATGACCAGCATGCTTTTCACAGCGTGATCATCGTATCTGTGAGACACACTCTATCTGAGATTTACTTTCATCGCTTTCTGTCATCAGGTGAAACCTCCGGGGTCAACTAACTCATCCTTTGCAAGGGGCACCAAAACCTTTATGAACTCGTCCATGAGAAGACGCATAAGACGACAGGAAACTGAAACTCCTCCCTATGTCCGGCCGGTCTCACAGCATGATAGTATTCCAGACACCCCTGAGTGCGGAGATCGTGGCTGACGAAAGTTGTGGGTGAAGTCAACTACAGATGAGTGCGGGTACAAGTGCGCTCAGGTACTTGGCGCTATGCACACAGTCTCACGCGGGGTCAAAACCATACACTCTCTCATGGTCTCCGACAAGCCGAATCAATTCAGTAGCTGTGTGAAAGGGAACTCTTATGACTCCTTGAAGGTGGGCCCCTTACCTGCTCCAGAAGCTGTACGTTCTCAACCCACCAAGGGCTAAAAGACAACTTATCTGCATGTGAGTGTTGGGAGATATTGAGATAAACAGCCATCACAACATTCTTACCGTCTCACATGAATGCGCTTTGCCACCCTGCGGATGGTTTTGTCATAACATGATTCCAGCTGAAAATCAGACAACGACTTTCCGACGTCCATGTGTGCCCGATCATGCAACGTGCTGCCAAAGGTACTTATAAAATCGACCTCGTCTTTGAGGTTTTGGCCTCATCAACACCCACGTTATGAGACACTGGAGGCGCCAATGGCTTCGGCTTAAGTGTGTCTGAGTCTCTGTGTTCTTGTCGACTTCCCTTACTTACCGGGCATTGCACTGAAGGATACAGCACAGCAGAATGCGCCGAAAAAAAGGACAGTCATCAACAACGATCATTGGCAAAACAAATAGTCCCGGACGTGGCAGGGAACGCATCGACAATCGAAGACAACACCGGGATGAAGGAGGTACTGGTAAGAGCTTCCGCGACCTGTATCCTCCCCCATATTATCACGAGAGCTAATGATTATCACTCAGGGAATGTTTCATCTAGCAATGCGCAAGCATGCCGTTTCGACAGCCCACAGAACTCAGAGCAAGGTCGTCCGACACCCGCGACCATGAGCCAGCCTCGCCAGACACGAGGACGCACTTCCCGCTTAAATACGAGGGTGATGGAGCTCAAGTATGAGAATTCGGATGATGAGAATGTGATGGATCTCACGAATGAGACCACCGAGGGCAGGGACTCGAGCTTAGATAACTGTAAGAGCGGGAAAGACAGCAGGAGAGATAGATGAAGAAGACCTTGGATATGCCCGTCATCGTGTATCTCACTCCCGGGTAGAGTACATCAGTTGGAAAAGAACCATTGATATCTCTGGGAACATGGAATCATTGCTTCTCCAACGTACACGATGTGATTTGGACCAGTCTCTAAGGTCGCACATGCGCACACGTGAGGCCAGTGAATCCCGTGCACTCGACAGCTATCTATTCGAGCAGAAGATGGGCGCAATTGTCTGACTACTGGCTTCAGGACCGACTGCAGTGAGCTGGTGTAAGATTTCTATCATGCTCCATATCCCTTGCATTGTCATCCAGTTCAAGAAAGGGCAGACACAAGCCAAAGGGCTATTGAAATGGAAGCCACCGTTACCAGTAGCGACTGAACCACCCCAGTCTCTCTGAATGGAACTAGAACTTTAACTCAGACATATCTGAGGCCTGTGAGGATGTCGGGTTGAATTTGAAAAATGTATTAGGCTGCAATTGCAGTAGAGAACCTAGCATACGACATTCACAAGTGTGCAGGCCCAACAGCCCTTGCGGGTACACTTGTGAGCGTAAATTTGGTACTCATTGAATGAATTATGATCTCTCAGCTACAAAGTGAGATCGAACAGATAACAAGAAGTCTGAAAGCAAGATAGATTCAACAATACAGTGTGGAAAGCACGACGCACATCATCAGAGTTCAAAAAGCAAGAGATAGCGGTACTTAGTACGTAGATAATTTTGGGGCAACGGAACGCGAGAAGTCCTGTAACAATATCCGGGTACTTACTATTAAGGTGATAGGTGCTGTTGACAACACCCAATCTCTTTAGCGCAAGATCAGCCTCATGTTTGGAGGGACACTCGCGCTTAACGGGATCGCTGCTGCAGTAGTGTGCAGAACGGCGAAGTGAGCGTGACAAAACCATTGATAGGTCGTATTTAGGTACATATGTACATGTGAAAGTGACATTTGCGTCCACAAACGTGAACGTGGATGCGTTTGTATGCATCAGATGAGATCATTTCATTGAGTTACAGAATACAGGGCAGTGGAGAATGGATGACAGGGATGATGTGGAAAGGAGAGATGGGAAATTTGTCAGTAATTGGCCTCCAGCATTAAAGCCGAAGCGTACCTCTGGAATAGGGCCGCCGACGGTCTCATTCTCCGTTTGATCCCGACGTCCTAGAATGTGGCTAGCGTCCTATACAGACCATCAGAGTCCGCAGAGTAGAAAAACACGGTGAAAGAGTGAATCGGGTCAATCGTACCGGTAGTAACCTTACGCCATTTGCGTGCAAATCCTATGGCGAGTCAGCTACTAGAGATCTGCGTGCAAAAACACAATGGCTTACCAGCGGAGAGCGCAGACTGTTATTACCGCTCGGCTGTTCGTGGACGTACGGAGGTAAGTCCGCTCCTAGCGAAGGGAGCGGAGGCAGTGGACGAACTCTGCCGAGTGAAGGAGAGTGTGCGGGGCCATCACTTCTAGCTGGTGGCGCGTAATGAAGACCGGGAGGGGTCTCGCGGTGTGCGCTCAAGTTATGGCCGATGGGCGCGCCCAGCGTCGCAGCGGGAGGTTGTTCCGTCGTTGACCTCATAACTTGCAACCATTCGCGACCACTGGAGAGCGGCGGAGGGCGGTCCCAGTCGAGAGCGCTCAAGTGCGCTGTGCTGTGAGCGTCGTGGGCGGAGATCTGCTCGTACGGTGGCGGAGGCTCCTGCGGGATGCGGTATTCTTCTACGATCGCCAGGGACCTAGAAGCGGACAGAACGGCCATGATTCTTTGGGGGGGCTGATGCGAGACCGGGGGAATGTCCACGTCCTCGTCGGGGTTACCAGCGCGCGAGTAGGCAGCAGCTGGTGATGACCGCGCCACAGCCGAGCTCGAGTGATCTACCGCATGCGGGTACTCCCACTCGTTTCTGGGCTCGCTGGGCATACCGTCCAAGAAGGGGTCCGCTGCAACGACGCCGGTGTCCGAATGGGCGCCCTCCTCGCTGCCGAGGTCCATCTGCCTTCCGCGTCCTCCCCTACGCTTCCGGGAAACTTTAGATCAGATTAGTAAATTGCGTGTGCGGTGATCATACGACACGGCGTACGTATTGCGCCCATTCTATCCGTCCTTGATCTCGCGCGATGGTACGAAGGGTGATGGTCAAGAGACAACGCAGAACGGCGCGCGCGGTCAGGTTGATAGAGCTCTTGATAAGGTTCACTTATCCTCGCACGCAAGGCATAAGCGCCCCGTACGTCGAATCCTAATCGTACGATGAGCGAGGGCCTGTCGGATAGTTAGTGCTTTCTTTACGACGTACATTCTGGACGTAGAGGCATGCAGTGGGACAGATAGAAGATACGCACTGAGCGAACAGCATCTAGCGTATCCCGTTCTTTCTACCGCTCCCCGCCCGAGCGCTCACCTTTGCCCATCTAACCGACCGCATCCGTCCTTGTAAGAAGCGCACATCGTCGCTATCCTAGCGTGTCGTGCGATGAACGCGTCACAGGATGAGAGCACGTATCTCAGTGGAATGGCACAGGCGCCCTACTACGAGAACAGAGCGATTATTTGGCAGAGCAGGCAGGTGGGGAAGGGGACCCTGCAGACACAACAAAGCTCAGTCTCTTGTACCCTCGCCACACAGGAACGCGTGCCGTGTGGCACCCCGCGATCCGATCTCACCTTAACCACCAACTTGCCCGATCTGCCTCCGCCCGATTTGCCCGAGCCCGATCTAACTATGATCGGTCTAGTGCCTGATCCCATCCGGTGCCGGATCCGTTGCACGTGGCAGGCCGCGTCATGCTCTCAAACGCACTATCAAGCGTCTCTGCATAAGTAGAACTCTGAGCTCATCCATAACGTCGCCTTTATCCCTTTCGCAAAGCCGAGCGTCTCATGCTTCTTCCTGTACCCAGGCTCACTGGCTACGGACCTCCGATCGATACCGCCGGCCTTCATAGGGCATTGAGGCTCTCCAATGGTCGCGAGAGTGCTGAAGTTCAGGCTCGGATGGGTTCGTACGCGTCTATATAACCACGACTGACTGACGCCGGGATGCTGTCTGGCAACGAGATTGATTCGAGGGCGCCATTCAATTACTTCACCACGCCCTTGGCTCTGCCTCTGATGACGCCGAGATGGCCAATATTACGGCCAGTCTACGTCAGGCTACGGCGGACGTTGATCACTCCCTGTCAAACCCGCGCTCTCCATACAACGCCGTTACGCTCATCGTCGCGCTTCTCTTACTGCCGGCCTCCTCCAGCCCAGCTCCCCAAACGGTCAAACACTCAGTTGCAAGACTCGCACCTATCGTCGCACGACTCTCTTCTCCGCAAAGGCCGCGCCACGTCGTCTTTACAGAACAAGCAAAGCCCCGCTACACCGTAGTCGTCCGTGCAGGTCGAGCAGCAGCCCGCAGATGCTGCAGCCGAAAACAGCACTACGGCTGTTCGAGGCACTGAGAAGGTACCTATGCCGTCCTCCTGCCCATCCATGCCTATTAATGACAACTCCGCAGACCTCGGAAGCGCCGCCAAAGGTAGTGAAGAGTTGATGGGATTTGAGGCCACGGGCTTTGGTACCGTATCGGTAGTTCAGACCCCATGTAGACCTGTGTGCAACGAATTTCCGCCTTGCTACGGCCTGCCCCATTTGCTCTTTCTCGCCGCTCTCACATTTCTCATGGTAATACTCGCCGGCACAATTCATGTCGATCTCCCCTTTCAACTGCTCGCCGTCAATGCAAATGAACTGGCAAACCTGGCCAAGATCGACGCCGTAACGCGCAAGATCGTCTACGTGCAGCCGCCCACATGGTCAATCTGTGAAACGAAGATGCCATTTCCCTCTTCGACCGTGGCCTCGAATACGACTGAGAGCTTGGAGCACCTCCTGAACGACATAACTTTGCTCACACAGGTGTTAATCTTGTGGGACCCGTCACAAACGATATCGCCTCTGAACGTTCATACACGGCTCCTTATTCAGGCGGCCTGCGACATTCTTCCATTTGCTTCGTGTGGTGCGTGTTCGTGCTACACGCGTCTCATCTCCGAAGATCCATAGCCTGGTCACCTAGCTTCGCCGCGTTCTCCGCGTTAACAAAGTCATATCTGCGGTTAGATGCCCCATCTGCGGATCGCTGGAGTCCCTCGCGGCAAGAGGGCTCTGAGTGGGCAACTATCTGAATAGCTTCCCTGAGTCTGGCCACCTTCACCCCCAACGTACAGAAAGTCTGTAAGGTGTATGATTACTGAGCATCCTTACAGCGCGGAACGAGAGGAACTCAATTGGCTTAGCCGCCAAGCGCTCAACTCCAAAGGTCAAATCAACCATGTACGGTGGATCTACTCGCACTCTTTACTCTCGAGCGCTCACCGGCCCGTAAGCCCAGGAATGTACCCGTCGTAACCTCACCTGAAGATGTGCGACCTGGCACTGTCCGCTACTTCACCGGGCTCTATGATCTACCCGATCTGCCCGCCATGCGGGAGCCTTGGCTCTTCACACCGACCGTGCGCAGGACACGGGATCGGATCACGAGTTTCCCATCTCAGTGGACGCAGCGGATATCTGATCTTAACACGCTCAGATCCCTTCTACGACGCGAAAGTCCTGACCTGCACCTGGTCCGAACGGATGGGAGAAATGGATCATCCGCGCGATGCCCTCTCAACACTACCCACGGCATCTGTCCGCGTATTCTGGCATCGAGCCACGGCTGCGGCCAATGCGTTCAACGCATCACCGCACCAAGCAGTCTCAGCTCTTTCCGTGCGTGGCCTTCGAAAACGGGTGGGGAAAATCTATCCTGTGCGCCTGTTCCGACTGGCTCCGCGCGAGGACGGCACCCGCCCGCTCTGACGACGTCCGTGGGCACTCGAATGACGAGCGTAACGATGGCGCGGACCACCAAGGGAATCTCACCGTCAAACTTTCTGTGGCCCGCCCCATCCCGCCACCACCTATCCCGCCTCACGACGAGGGGCGCCCCCGGCGCCCAAAAGCCGGCCTGTACTATGGCAAACCCATGCACACCCAGAGGGGAGAACGCTGGGCATACACACGCCCTGGTCCAACGACAACAAAGGCCGCCATGGCAGGCAGAAGCAGACGCACGCGTAGCGAGCGAAGTGCAGGACCCTACTCGACTCCCGGCCACTTCGGCAACGCCTTCTGGAGCGCTCACTGCGACCTCGGTAATGACAAGATACAAACCTGCGCCGTCTCTTCCGCTGCCATGCAACCGGTCTTTGAGGAGCGCATGAACCCAGCCGCCCATTCACCGCCAAACTTCCATGCCCCAGCCACCATTGCCGCCAGCACCAACGTTCGCAACCCAAATTCAGTGGAGGACGCCGCACCGCCGGACGAGACCTTCCGTAGGTCGTGAACCCTGAGCGTGATTGAGGCCGACTGTGACCCACCCGCCTACCCAGACGACCCGATGCTCGGGGCTAACCGCATAAGCTACGTGCTCTACGCCGCCAACAGGGTCCTCCTGTTTTTGGGCCCATACGGTCTACATGCCCATCTCACATGCCTGTACAACTACGCCGGACAAAAGCAACCCCTCACGAATGCACTCAAGACATACCTGATCACCTTCAACGTCCTTCCAGCCCGCGCTGTTACCCTGCGTTTTGGAGACACGGCCCTCACGTACGTCCGCAAACTGACATATTACGTCGGGATTCCGCCCAAGTCTGACGTGCGGACCATCTGCATGTGCCTGTACGAGAAGATCAAGACGAGGCCTACGCGCGCGTCGTGGTGGACAATCACCGGCATGTGTAACGTACTCAAAGACCTTCTGCCCGCGGTCGCACGGCTCCTGTATACGGCTCGTGTCGACGCACTGCTATGCGCCGGTGCGGACGTGGTCCCGGACATGGACGACCGATCCACTTGCCTCGTACCCCCACCGTGACCTCTGTTGGCCCCTGAGCTTGCCAGGATTGTTCTTATGGCTACTAATGTCTTCTATCGTGCCTGTCGCTACTTGATTGCAATATATTTTGTTTATCCCTCGCAAAATCCCCTGACAGAAAGGATGGCAAACAATCATCTTCTCCGCACAGTCATTTCGACTGCTAACCTTGACGCACACACTGGAGTGGCATGACGACGATGGGTATTGCAACAAGCTAAGTACACGATTATGTCAGCTATATTTATTCCCTTTCTGATTTGCTGTGCATATAGACGCCGTCGCACTGGATAACGGCTTTGATCCAGCCGTTTACTACGAGCTCTTCCTCAAACACCTTCCACTTTAACATCGACGATGCCTATGATTCACAGTCGTGGGAGTAGGAGGTGTACGAGAACGAGGGCTGGCCAGTGCCAGAGGAGGAGGACGATGACGACAAGACTAACGTCGTGTTGATTGCGCTTCACCCACGTATTTGGTATCTGATATTTGCTGTCCAGATCCGTCTACTTACACGCAAGCTTACGGCTTCCCATAGTACCGCGCTCGCCTTTGTGTGAGTGCAATCAAGCATTACGACGGCCAGCACCCCGAGAGGGGTGTTGTCATTTTTCATCTCATGGTCATCATCGACATGCGGGTCCCTTGGCATTTTATGCAGCCTATGATGGGTGGTGCTATCATTGACCGTGATATATGTAGCACTGCCTGAATCCATGAAAAGCTCGTTAATGACATGACCCTCCATATCAGACTATCGACGATGTCGCTTGCAACTCTCAAAGTGGCGTCATCTTCTTCTGACCAAGGCCGACTGGGACTCTATCGATGCGCTTAATTCGGTACTTGAGGTGATCAAGATCTCATCGCCCTCGCGATGCATCATGCCGCTGACTGATGAACGATCGGAGCTTAATCAATGTTACGGAGACGACTTCCTTCACGAAGTCCCTTACTTTGTGCTGGTAGTCACATTCAGGCTCACATAGCACTCCGTGAGGATCTTGCCTCTGGCCAGGAAAAGCTCATGGGCTACTACAACCTCACGAGGCAATCCATGCATGTACGATTGGCGACAAGTGTGTGTCCCCGTTTTCGGCCGTTGCTCCCTACACTTATCCTCTTTCAGTGTGTCACCCGGGCGTTCGCGCCAATTGGTTTCCCAACGTTGGCAACGCCGCCCACGAGCAGGCGTGCGTGCTATTTCAGACGGTGCACAACACGTATGTCGCAGCAGACAAGACATCGCTGAGACGGCAGCGACAGCCGTGCAGTCAGAGTGTTTACGTTCGTCTGTCTTTCAAGGCAGTCGACGTGAAATGAAGAAGCCGCTGGACTGGTGGAAGGCTTGATTGTTCCCTAATTTGCACTCGGTAGGTACTGGCGCTTTCCTCAGGGACACGAACTACGGCTTCCTGTTATAGCTCGCATGGTTCACCACTCTGTTGTCATCTCTCGCACGTCTGCTGCTGTTGAACAGCTCTTCTCATAGTCGCGATTTGCGTAGACACGCGCTCCTCGCTCAAGGGCAACACGATTTGCGAGTCAGTTCTCCTGCAGAAGTGACTCGAAGACCCGAAGCCATGTTACGGTATCTTAGAGCAGTGTAGCACCACTCGCGACCCAGTTATATGAACCATCGATGTTGCCATGCATTTACCATACATCACTACTTACCCTGTACTTACTCCAAAATCGGAGAATCTATGTGATAGGTTGGAGCGCTGTTCCGCACCTGTGCAAGTGCTACGGCTCCGAACCCTGGACTGATTTCTTCCCGCTGGACATTCCAAGCCATGGACCGCCCAATTCTCGCCCTCATCCATGAAGCTATTCCATGCGAAGCGCGACTTTTCTCAGTTATGCGGTGCGTTCGTGGCCGGCAAGGTATCCCATAGAACCTGATTTTGTCTACTCGCAGCTAGCCTTGCGCTACCTTTGTTGCTGCAACAGTCCTTAGTCTCACTGTTTGGCCACACCTACAGTCCCAAGCACTCATGCCTCGCCTTCCTTCCGCTCACACGCCTAGCTCGCAACAGTACACACGCTCTTTTGGCTATCCATACAACGCATCGCGTCAACATCTCGATTGCCGATCGACCTTACAATCGTCATCAACAGAAGGCACGCAAACATGTCACTTCAGCCGTTATATCAAGTTCCTGAAATTGCCATCGCCACATTTGGTTGATGTGCGGCTCCTGCCCCCTCTCGCATCTGCGTTGGCAGTTCGTCTCACTCCCGATGAGCCCCTATACCATCCTAGCTTACGCACGTCTGCACGGCTCCTTTCATATCTGCTGCCACCTTTGCCCGCCTCACATCATCGGCATCTCCTTATGAATGCCTGGTCCCTGTTGTCTATGGAGGGAGCTAATTGACTGTAATCAGCGTTCAATTATCTCTCTCCGTCTGCTCTTATCAGCCTCGCCTTCTTCACTTCAATGTCCGTTGAGATTGTGACACCGCCTCTGTATGAGGTCGCGCGAGGTCACACTCTTCATGACGATGGCGACCGATCCTCCCCATATCAGGTTCGACACGCTTGCCAGCTTGTCCAGCACGTTAGCGCCGAGCATCGGGTCTCACTATGACGAGCTCGCTGTGCATATTCATCGCTTACCTTGCCTCCTGGTGTTTAGGTACTTGAGGCATCGGAAGCGTCAATAATGTGTACTAATAGGATCATGTTCCTGTCTTCACCCGTCGACATTTCGAAATTATGCTCGTACTTGGCAAGCACTCGCTACAGTATGCTCGTGATAGCGTTTTATACAGCGATCCACAGTTGGGCCGCACACCACCATCATCTCGCACACCGTGAGGATGGCCGTCAGTCGTACAGCTTTCGTGCTGTCCCTCCCGCAAGAGGTGCAGGAGCATTAAATTGGCCTTAGGGCGAGCTCAGCGATTGAGCCGTATTCATATGTTGCACACGTATTGTGGGAACGCGGTGTGCGGTTTGGCAGGTAGCGCTCTCCCACCGCACGTGGTTCATCAAACAGGCGTACCCGTACGATTTGACCGCTGCTCTCTCAAGCCAACCGCACACTGCATGCGCCATGCTCGATGCGACATGCTCCAAAAAAGAACAGGTCGTCATCGCGAAAGAGCGACCGCGAGATCCGAAACGCATCTCGGTGTGCAATTTGACGATGGATCGCTGCAGTTTATAATACATTGCGTTTCGCTGCTATTCGTATTTCTTAATGCTTGGCCTCGTCTCTACTCGATACCCAAATATCGAGCTCCGTTGGTAGAGCTAGCCGCCGAGCCCTCGTGTTCGTGCCAATTTGCTCAAGTCGCCCGCCGCGGGGCTATCTGACCATATCAGTGGTATACAGTTCTTTGACTCATCGAACTTCATATCAGTGATGGCGCGGAGAGTGTTACACAGTAGATGCTGCACAAAATCGCCTTGGAATACCACTTCGACGGGAATCGTGAAGATTCTGCGACGGCTTGACTCACCTGAGACTTTGCCATACTTGACCTCTCGAATGATCGGCCTATGCATCGGCGAGCGCCCACCTGATATTTACAGCCCTCAAAGGAGCTTGTGCCTGTCCATGTTCAGCGTGAAGGTGGTGCAAGATCACTTGATCATACGATGCAAAGCGGTCTTCCGGTACGTAGTCTTGCCTTTATTCTATTCATGAGTACTCTTCCAGAACCAATATCTGAAGCTTATTGACACCGTAGTGGAGCGACCTACGGTTCTTCGCACCGTGAGTATCTCGACTGGCGAGCTTATGGTGCGTTGTAGCAAGATACAACGGCATGCCCCACATCTCCTTCATCTCACCGCACCGGACGGGAATCGCTCCAAATGCTCAAAGATCTTGACGCTGGAATCTGTGATGGAGTCCTCTTCATCCACTCATCCCGAACTCGGGTTGCCGTTTAGTCGCACATACGGGGTTGAAGGCTCTAACTAAGTGAACGCTGTTAGTTCGGAAGAGAAGTGGGAACAGACGGCGGCTTTCGGTATCTCCTCGAGTGGCACCGTGCTGCCGAAAATCAAGATGAAGGGAAAGACGGCCCACTCACTGCACAGTAAGGATGCACCACTTCGCAATGTCGCAGACACGCTTTGGTCAAAGCTTTGGCATCATAGACACAGGTTGATTCGAGTGAGTCGCTTTTGCAGTAATACTCGGACTAGATCGCTGTCAGATGCTCTGTTACACACGCATTTCGGTTCTTCTTTTCTACTTGTTCTTGTTCTTTGATGGTATCCTTAAAGTCTGTCCAAAAGACACATCTTGATTTCCCTCGTAGTGTGACTCGGAGGTCGTCTTCAACTGCTGGTCCGTACACTAGCACACAAAATCCCCGTGTTTCTGTGCGTATATACGCGTTAGCCATTGGCCTGTCTCAGTCCCGCTCCGGACAGGACGGCTGAGCTCACATAGATTTTTGAATGCTGGCATGTAGCGTCCATACAAGTTGTACATCCGCTTTTTTCAGATGCAACATGTTATCACCAAAACTCTCGATCAACTACAATCAGACGGCCACTCGACCGAGCTCATTCTCAACTTCCGCATCAGTATTCTCCTTCATTGCTCGCTAAGGCAAATTGTCTATGCGTGGCGTGATATCAGACATCTTCAGCTCGTGGCGAAAGTACACACGCTGTCCCATTGTTTGATTATGTCCGGCATTGTTCTGTTCCAGGCTTTCGAACGTTGTCTTTGACGCAGCGGGTTCGACCTCGTGCTGAAGCTCCACCGAACTTATCCGGAGGTCTGAAGGAATGGAACCGCTGACTACAACTCGTATGAGGCTACCATCTTCGAGGCTGGTTCCAAAGACGCGTCTGAGTAGGAGAGAAGACTGAGTCTGAAGCAGAAGATGATACGGCAGTCCCTCCTACCGTTCCGATGGCGTATTGGGCGACCGGGTCGCCTCATGCAGTCGTGGCAGGCAACAGAAGAAGCTGAGCTCTCGTCAGGAGGATCTCTAGCACATGACCTTTGCCTAGGAGTGGCCAT